CTGAGCTGCATACGCCAATTGATGTGAGCTGTGTCGATGGTTGCGAGCAATGTACTTGCCATGCCAACGAAATCGCTAGCGTACTTATGAGCAGGGACTCGGGAATGGCTCAGTCACAGCGCGTAGAGCTTGAGGAGATGGTCGGTAATATGGGCTGAGGGTTCTCTTCATCTTCACGAGGAGTTTAGTGGATTTCTGCAGCATGCATTACATGAACTTTGGCGTCGGGCGGAATACGGTGCATAACGATGGCGTCAACTGAGTTTCAGGGGAAAAGGCTTTCAATCTTTGTATTCGATGTGCAGAATGTTTGATTCCTGGAAGCGCGAGCTGATAGTATTCTCACACGCCCTCCATACAGCCATTTCGTGATACTGTCTCACGAGCCCGCCAATTACGGTGTCAACACCAGTTTTCCAGTGGTCTTCCTGCTCTCGATGTCCTGGGTCGCACGCACAATCTCGCTCAATGGATACACGTCGTGAATCTTGACATTCAGTCCGTCTTTCTCGATGAAGTTCCACAGTTCCTTTGCCGCTGTCTGCAGTTCTTCGCGAGTGGCGATGTAGTTGAATAGCGTAGGGCGGATGAGCTTGACGTTCTTTGCTGACAAGCGACTAGACGATGTGTCAGCTACTTTCTCTCATGAATAGTACAAGAAAGACTCACGCAAGAGCGAAACCCTCAACTGGTCCCGATGCGTTTCCAAACGAGCACATCGTACCCTTCCTCCTCACGACAGACAACGAGCTGTCAAAGGTGGACTTGCCCACAGAGTCGAAAACTGCATGTACACCCTCGCCTCCAGTAGTCTCTAGGACTTTCTTCACGAAAACGTCTCGGTTGTCCTCGTGGTATTCCAGTAGCACCTCTGCGCCGTTCTGCTTTGCCAGATTCCTCTTCTCTTCTGTGCTAGCTGTAGCAATGACTCTTGCGCCGACAGCCTTCAGCAACTGGCAGAGCCATAGTCCTACACCGCCAGCTGCGGCGGTAACGAGAATCCAGTCGCCTTCCTTAACTTCGTAAGCATCACGGATCAAGGTCACGGCGGTTAGTGCCTGGAGGAGCGAGGCAGCGGCTGTCTTGGTGGAGATGGAATCAGGGAGCGGAATTGTGTAGTTCGCTGGTGCAGCAGTATACTCTGCGTACGCGAATTGCGCCATGTAGGCTACGCGCGCACCCGGTTTGAGATCAGAAGGTGCGTTGGGTCCGACGGAAGCGACGGTTCCAGCGCCTTCCCGACCGAGAACATACGGGAACTGCGGTGGCTTGTATACACCAGAGCGGAAGTAGCTGGCCACAGATTAGCATGAAATCTTGGTTTCTGAGCAGGTGGATAGGGGTGCTCACGTGTCGATGTAGTTGATGCCGATGAACTCGTTCTTGACCAGGACCTCGCCTTCCTTGGGCTCTGGAACCGGTACATCAGTCTTGTACTGCAGGACTTCCGTTCCACCGGTCTTCTCGATGTACACGGCCTTCATAGTCTTTGGGAGTGAAGACATGGTTCTGATGATGGATGCTCTTGGAGCAATGTGCGAATTGATGGCTGCAAGTCGTGTTGTCGATCTGGAGAGTAGATTCGTCGAGCGCAGAGTGTGTGATGCCAGCGTCATGAATCACAAAAGATGGGCTGGTGGTCGGCTCAATATAAGCAAGCTATCTCAAGAGAGGCATACCCGTTGATGATAAATACTCTCGGACACGGCGTTAATTCCGAGTGATCTGCGAGGTGACACCCCCGCTCCCCGCACACGTCATTATCGTCTCAGTTCGCGACTTCCATTTCGACGCGGCAGACGCAGTCGCCTTCCATTTCTGATGAATTACTGCATCGGCCTCTATGAAGATGTACTTCGTAGGGCGCGCCAGCATTGTGTCAACCCGATAGGGCGTGTTCATTACAAAGCGACGTGTTCATAGATGCTACAAGTTAGCCAGGCGGGCATCGCCCGCCGTTAATCGGCCTGCTGGGCTGCGCGCCATCTCTCAAGCATCTATGGTGTTCTATCTCTTTCCTCACTTTGATCATATGCATATTTGTGCACCTTGCATCCTCCCCACTAGGTACGCCCAGGTAGAGAATACTCCTCTTGAATTAGGATAGGCTCTGGCAGAGCGAAGCATAGCCTGATTAGTATCGCGTCTGTAAACTATCACCTAGGTAGACTACGATGTCACCTTTACTGGCAACAGCAGTCTCTTGCTCTCTCTATCTCTCTCGCTCTCTCCTTCGGAAGCCAAAACACGCGAGTCTACTTCCCACGTCTATGGCTACCTGGGGATTTCTATCTCTCTATTGATTGAACCGCCTCACTCGTAGTCCACCCTTCAGGTCAAAATGGCAGAGATCTACGCAAGAACATGTGAGATCAGCAACAGAATCTAGGCATACCGTAAGCTCGCTACTGTCCCGACTTCCATATCAATATACTACCGAAAGGACAGCCGGAGCATTCTACGCGCCCTTCTCGATGACGACGAATTGTCCAATGGAGACGCCGACGTAGTCTCAGACGACTCGGAACTTGCAGACGAAACAGGAGCCGGGAGGTTCTCAGGCTGCTCCGTAGGAGCAGCGGCAATATCTTTACTGGACGTTACCGCATACGTGACCTCAGCCCCCGTATGGAACCCCAATATGCCTGGCATTATCGGCATTCAAGTGTTTTCACTAATATCCAACTAGTATGACCTAGCAGTGGCTGAGCGTGGCAGTACATCGAAGGCTGTTATCAAGATGCCCTCCCAATAGAGCTCAGTGAAGACGTAGAAAGAAGACGGGAATCACGAATTATGCATATACGGCATGGAGATTTGGACGAGTTGCTCTACACGCCCCTTCCTAAAGCAGCATTGCGCTCGCACGGAATGTTTGAAAAGCGGTGACCGAGCGCGCAGTGCAAACGGCCACACATTCTACTAGTCTCGCACAGTCTCCTCGCCCTTGACATTACATTGAACGATATTCATCGCCGTCCAACATCGCCTTCTTACACCGAATACCCGACGTTCGCTACCCGGTGCTATCATGCTGGTTCCTGAAACGCTTCAGTGTCAGCTCAAGGATGCTCCGGCGGTTCGTGAATGGGCGAGGACCATCTGCCCTGTCGAATTCGAGACACTGCCTGACCCGGACGATCTTGAGACCTATTTTCTGGAGATTGCTGAGACATCCACGATCTTAAAAGCTATCGCATTCACGAGCTTCGACCCACCTTGTACGGCCGCCGAGCGACTCTGGCCTGGCACTGGAGAGATCACTGTACTTGCGTTCATTCAAGAGTCTTCGCTGATGGCCTGTCCGATCCGTGGTGAGCAAATTGGCGGCAAGTTCGACTTGCTCAAATGGCTCAAAGATTACGGCCCGACGTTCTTGGACGCGTTCGCTTCGTGTTCACTGGCTGACCGTCAATGCCCCACCCCTGTCGAGATCGCGCTTGAGATTGAGGCGACCATCAGATACTACCTTGCGGCGAAAGGGGTGGTAAACGCTCTACAATGCGATGGTCAGATGTTCAAATGGAACTTCGCACGCGCATGTCGTCGCCAGCATCAGAAGCTGTTGGAAGAGCGTAAGTCAGAAGTGAACTTTTCTTCTTCCCGATGGCACAATCATTGACCATAAATAGGCAATACCCCAGAAGAAGCTTCGGGCTCCGTCGAACAACGTATCACTGGACTTCATGAGTCATCGGAAATGTCCCAATATTTCAACGGCGCTCACGAGCGATCCGGCGAGGAAGCAAACGCAAACGACAACAACACGACAAGCCGTGCCTTGAACGAGAACCAGCAGCGCAGCGCCCTCAACGATGTCACCAACATCGCCAATCTACAACGCGAGATCAAGAAGTTGCGTGTAAGACAAAAGAAGACAATGCGTCTTGAGGACAAATTCGCTACCCTAGAGGTACGCTTGACTGCTTCAGAGAACAGAGAGGAGGCCACGAGTGACCGGCTTGATGTCATTAACCAGGAGCGGGATGATATGGAACAGCGGCACCAGACTCTTTGGAATGAATGTTTCTTCTTCAAGGCAGTCCAGGTAGATCGCACCAACACGGCTCTCGAAGCAGTGTCAGTTCTGTTCAACGACCTTACTCTACTCGAAGGTAAGGTTGAAAGGCTGACAACTGAGCACGAAGAGCTTAAGGAAGAGAACAGCGGCCTAGGAGGCAAGTTGCATACCATAATCGAGTTTGCTATAAAGTCAAAAAACGCCACAGTTCTGCATAGGGTCGCGAATGAGTCAGCTGTGGCTCACATCAAGAAGCTAGAGGAGAAGGTCGAAGAGCTGGAGACACAGATGAGAAAGCAAGAGACTTTGGTCAAGCAAGAAGAGTTTGAGAAACGCCGCATCGCTATGGACTCGGCTCATTGAGCCTGGCGATTGCCATATGCCACAGCTTTGTGTTTTGAGGGTGGCACAGAAAGTCGGAGTAATGCTTGCTGCAGATGACGTCTTCTTCTGTGCAAGGATAGCGGTCTGGCTTACTCAATGTTTGGAAGGTGCCATCGCGACGTGGAAAGTGCGACAAGAAGGGGATATTATCGCAATGGCAAGGAATAGATGCACGGAATGTAGAAGAAAGCGTTGTTGGATCGCACAGTAGGCAATCGACTGGCCCAAGAACCAAAGCTCGAGGGTTCTAAAGACCACTTACCGATAGGGCTGCAAAACACGCTCATGTTTCCACAACAAGTAAATCAGAATTCTGCCACAATCTTCAGTTCTGATGCTAGAGTGAAGTATCATCTCTCACTGTTCGCGTAGTTGTATGAAGTGGGGTCGTCCACTACTTCCCTCTCATCGCTCCTCCCTCAATCGCTTTCATCGGCGCGCCTCGGTGAGGTCACTAACCTCTTTCGGCATCTTCAGTTGTCATATCACGATGAAGATGAGCCCAATTTAGGCGCAAATTTCTACAGCTTCGTTTCGCCCTGTAAGAACTATAGTAGGAACATGCCCACTCGTTCAAATTGCACATAACCACACCATGGCACCCACCGGACTCACCCTCGAGAACGTACAGGCATGGGCAATCCGAGACTTCCGCGACCAATTCAAGCACCTACCTGACGCGGGAGCATTCCATGTACAGTTCAACATCGTCCGCGGGTACAACCACGACAACAGCTTCAAGAGCCTCGTGATAGGCAGCACCCACACTAAGACAGGAAAGCCGGCGGACATCCTCGCGTGGCTTGCAGGCAGCCGTATACAGCTCGGATATATTGGCAAGAATCGGAAGGGAGAGCCTCAGGTCCGCTCACTAGCTTCTCCCGAGAAGGACACCTCGTCTTCGAAGTTTAAATTTCCGTTCAATTTCGTCCCTCCAAACCAAACCGAGACGGAAATTGCGTGTTTCAATGCCGTGTTACGCTACTACTTCCTTGCCAAAGGTTGGAGTAAAGGCGTAATCGACGAATCGGACGTCTTCAACAGATTCGTATCCAGGTTTCCTTACGCATGTCAGGCTATTGCAAACACAGTCGCGGACAGATCAGCACCGGTTCCGAACTCACATGGTACGCTCTATCCACAACAAGCTAGTCGTGCTCCGGTAGCTTCAGCAAATCACCAGCGTATGTCTAAGATCAGCCGTTGACGAAGTCTGAGTAACTGACACTTGAGCTTAGCGCTTTGTTCCCAGAGGACTCCCTATCTCTTTGAGCAGATCGCCGACGACCCATTTCCAGACCGATCGTACACTGTATTCAGCAGCCCGTCACCCAGTCCGCCGCCAATTGAGGATCCCAAAACGCCCCGGACACTACCCTCCCCACTTGAGCTGCGGGCCCGATCTGGACATTCACAATCAGCCAGTCCTAGTGGGGACCAGATCGTGGTACTCGATGGATCCAACGATGCTGATGAGCGAGAGGGCTCCGGGCTGCGAAACAAGCTTTTCGATCTCAACATCCGGCTAATGATTGCGGAGGGTCTCGCTCGGGATGCTGAGATAGCAGCGCGGACAGCTCAGGAAGAGGCACAGCTCTGGAGGAAACGATATGAAGAAGCCGAGTCGTACAGGATCAAATATGAGGAGATCAGGAGCCACTTTGGATTGCAGGAGCAGGATGAACGCAGAGCGTGAAGGTCGAGGGTCAGAAGTGAAACTGAGAGGATAGGAGTCGTGGATGGAGATGTCGCGCAACGTGCTAGCGATGGAGGAGGTGTGGATAATGTTTCGATTGCAGCAGCGGCGGAGGGCGAAAAGTTGATGCGGGAGGCAGCGCTGTGCAATAATAATCAAAGGGTAAATCTGGGCGATCCGATCGCACGAGCGTAGCGTCACGGTCAGGTTTGCTTTGAGGAATACATCGCTTTCGTGCGTAAATTCTTACCGGTGCTCTTTGATGGAGGGAAGATGAGACGTGTCCAGGGTCCATTCACATGGGCTCTTGAGAGACAAGGGCGCCCCGCTTACGTCGCGGACGCGTTCCCACGCGGACGCAGCGTGAACCAAGTTCGCGCACCGCCGCTACGTCATCGCTCACATCGCAATCAAGCGCAAGCCCACAAACATCTACCGCGCGCAGAATCCCCACCTCACATGATCGATGCGCATATACACATTTTACTACTCTTCCATCACTAGAGTATACTCCAGACCTATTTGAGGCTCTTTTCGGCATGGGCGCATTACTTTCCTCCATCCTTGCGCCTATCGCCCTACCGCTGGGCTCATTCTTGGCCATTCCTATGCTATCCTCATGGTCGACAGGCCTAAACCTCATCTTCCTCTCGGTCGCATGGACGACAATCGCCGCATCCTATTCTCCTCTTCAACTTGAGCTAGTTGCGCCCCTAGTAATTCGACTATCTCTCTACATCATCCCCAGCCTGATCTTCTTGCTATTCGATATCGGATTACCAAGTCTAGCAATCGAGTTCAAATCTCAGGGACAATGGGGTATCCCAAACAATCAGAAGGGTGGTGCACGCGCAGTGAGGAGGGTAATGGCGTGGAGCTGTGCAAATGTGCTGCTTAGTGTGGCGTTGCAAGCGGGTATTGAGTTCTTGATCACAGACGTACTGCAGATGAGGAGTCTGCTACTCATCAAAGGCAGTCGATGGGGGTTGAATCACCTACCAAACCCATGGACGATGGTCAAACATGGCATTATCGGGCTTTTATCTCGTAACGTAAGATACCATGATTGCGTTCCCTAACAAAGACGTACTAACAGACATGTCCCAGGTTTTGCAATACTATATCCACACACATCTGCTGCACTCTCCGACCGGCGGCGCACTCTCGGACTTGCATCAGAGCTGGCACCACAGCATCAAGATCCCCTACTCCTTTGCCGCAAACTACGACCACCCCATCTGCCACCTCCTGCACCGCTTCCTACCTCTATACCTTCCAGCAATTGCTCTGCGGATGCATATCCTCACTTACTTGATCCTGATCGCTATCTTCAGTCTAGAAGAGACTTTCGTGTACTCTGGGTACAATGTCTTACCCTCAACCATCATGCTGCGAGGCATGGCACGACGCGCCGATGCGCATATGATGAGTGAAGGAGAGGGTAATTACGGATGCATGGGTGTTTTGGACTGGTGCCACGGGACGACAATTGGTAAGGATGTCGTTGAGGACCTCAAGGCGGAGATGGAGAAGCACAACGTCGAGGAGAAGGCGGGGAAAGCTATAGATGGCGCGGGGGAAGCGGCGAACGGACTGGCGGGGAAGTTTGGCAGGGCTAGGAAAGGAAGGGGAAAGAAGTAAGTAGGTCAAGCGGCGAGCCTAGGGTCATGTAACGAGGTCTGTATACGTGTGGCATTGGCGCAATTGGTTCGGTGGTAGTGTCCTTGGTTAGCGGTCGCTTCTGATACCCTCACGTCTGGTCGCCGGGTGTTCGTGGGCAGTTGGCGCAGTATCGGTCGAAGAATGTAACGTCTGTATCTCTATTCCTTGCATCAGTACTCGATTACCACCCAGTATGTACTGCGCCAATTGAACGCCCAACTATGACATCACGCAAGCGGAGACCAAATGTTCACTTTTGGACCGTCTCAGATTCGCTCGCTTCATATAAAGCCTTATGGTAAATGCCTTGTCGGAATCCTCCATGAAAAAAATTGGCTGCCGTGCCGCTGCGATTCTTGTTTACCGCTAGTACAGCCGCAGTATGCCGAAGTCGTCTTTCATCCCATGCACTGAACGCCGAATGCCCGATCGTTATCCGTCGCTTAGAAGACCATCTGGTGAGGCCTGTCGGAGCTACGGAGGCTGAAGCTGGCACCGAGGTAGTCGGCGAGGTGAGCCTCCTTCTTGATGGTGGCCAGGAGAGCCTTGTCGACGGCCTTCTGGTCCTCGACGCGGTCCTTGGAAGTCTCCTTCTTCTGTGGCTTTTGTCAGTATTGTCGCATTGCACTTCCATTGTGTGCACGTACCTCAGGCTTCTCGCCCTGCTTGAAGAAAGCATCCTCACCCGGCTTGTGGGCGGCCTTGTCCTTGGTGAAGTAGCCGTCCTGGCTGCACTTCTCCACAACCTTCTCGTCTACGCCGCTCAGGTCGACGCTGGTAGAGGTAGCGATGACATATCGGGCGTTTACGCGGCGAAGGGGAACACCGTTGACTTTGAAGGGACCGGTAACAAGGAGGACACCCTGGGAAAGGTGCTTGAGGACGACGACGCGCTTGCCGCGGAAGCGACCAGCAAGGAGGATGACGACGGTACCGGGCTGGAGAGACTGGCGGACCTTCGCAGGGCGGACAGACTTGCGGGCCTTGAGTCGCAGTTAGCGGAGCTCCAATTGATGTCTTGATTCTTGTCCTTGCACCCAAACACCCGCCGCATGCTGTCGCAGTGAATGCACCCAGCACCCCTGCAGTCCATCTCTTCCGTGCAAACCATCGTCTATCGCGAACGTACCTTCTTGGGGACAGCAACGTCCTCAGCAGGGTAGTACTTGCTGGCCTTCTGCGAGTGGTGCGGTATCGACCTCTCCCCCTTGGAGAACTTCTGGGTGGTGGGCTTCGTGTCCTCTTGTTTGGCCGCCATTTCGTTTCGCTGTGGTCGTTAGTGCTGGTCGGTGGTGTTGGCGATGGAATCGATTTTCGTGAATTCGAGTGTGTGCCAAGCTGTCCAATCGATACGCGCGACCGGGCCGAGAGTTGTTCCGTTGGTTACGTAACCCGCGTGGAGCTTGCAGCTTGCGGCGATGCTCGCGGTACCGCCGCTGAACATCACTGCCCCAACACCGACACACACCGCAGCCATGTCTATCCAACCGCTCATCACCTTCAAGGCCGGCCAGTGTGAGCTGACTGTAAGCGTCGCGGAAACTGACAATCCAGATCGGACACTAACAGTAGCCACAGCGCGGAGAAGGCAACCAGCAGACAGTCAAGCCAGTACCGACACCAGGCTATGTCTACCTGTACCAAGGAGAAGATGGTTTGTTTGCAACCTACTCAGCCGCTTCCTCAACTTACATATCCAGAATTCGTGCACTTTTGCTGGCGACCACGCGACCGCTCGCTCGACCAGTCGGACCTCGACCTCATCATGATCCCCGGTGACGGCTCCTTCCAACCCTACACCGGCAAGGACTCCATCGATGACCCCGAGAACATCAAGTCGCCCACTGACGGCCGCATCTTCGTCCTCAAGTTCAGCTCGAGCTCACAACGCTATCTCTTCTGGTTGCAATCAAAGTCGCAGCACCCGCGCGGCGCGAGCTGGTTCAGCGAGCGCGACCTCAAGATCGGACAGGTCATTGACTTGCTGCTGACGGGCGAGGAGATTGATGTACAGGCTGAACTTGCAGGTATCTCGAGCTCATCCAACAATGACGAGGATGAGACCATGGAAGACGTAGAGCCATCTAGCCGAAACCGCCACGGTAGCACCGGAGGCGCAGGTGCTGGTGCCACAGGCGGTGATATCCGAGATGAAGGCGAAGAGTCCCGAGAAGGGGGCGCCGATGGTGGTCGAGCGTAGGTTCCATCTATTTGTATCGCATTCGGCGTCGTGGCGCAGTCTACCTTTCCGGACAGAATCGAGCTGCTGTGCAAATTACCAACGGCTCTGTACAAAACTATAAAGATATCCTGTCACGGTACGGCGTTTTGGGAGAAGCATAAGACCATCCAAACATGGCGATTGGCACTGGCTGCTCATGTACAACAATAGAAAATAAGCATCATGCTACGTCTTCCACTGGCCACGCCGCGGCGCTCGTTTCGCGTTCTTGCTTTTGCCTATCCTCTTGAACATTCTCGCTAACGCGTCGACAGAGCCGGATCAGGTGATGTCTCTGCCATTGTGCAAGACTTCATGAACTCGCTCAAAGGCGGCAACGCAGGCGGCAGCTCACAACAACAAAGAGGATCAGAACCGTTCGCTAGCCTCACCGAGTTCCTCTGGCCTACGCACACTCTCTCAACCGTTGAGAACGCTTCCGACGAGACCATCGACGCACTGTGTGCCCAGCTACCGACAATTCCTTTCCTCCTAGAAGCCGAAGTCGAAGACATCGATCAAATCGACCCCAACTCCGAGACCGCGCAGATGGCCATACAGACATTGGGTCGGGACGAGAAGATTGAGGTTCTGAGCAGGATCCTGCGGGCACCCCAGCTGAGGGGAGCATTAGGCAGTCTGAATGAGGCGCTAAGGACTGGTGCTCTACCGACTGTCAGCCAGGCACTGAACATTGATGTCGAAAACGGAGGCTATATGAGAGGTGGAGGCATGCCACTTGGTGGCGGAGATGCAGTCAAGGCTTTTCTGGAGGGTGTCAAGAAGACAGTAGAAAAGGAAAAGAAGAGTGGCGATGACATGGACACCAGCTAGATAGCCAAGCGGCTGTGGCGATTTGGACATGCTTCGGCATTGAATGACGACCGACATACGATTGATGCACATATAGACGACAACGATCAATGGCACGAGCACTGAATGGCATGGGTAGGATAATTGACTTATTCCCGCTCTCATCAATGCTTTTCAAATCCTCTTCTTAGAGGTTCGCTTCCCATCTAGGAGGATCTCCAAAATGTACAGAGTCAGTCAATGGCTTTAGCCTTCCCACAGATTCATACCCATTATCGACTTTCATTCGTCTCACTTCCAACGG